AAAAATAATCCTGTAATATTCTGAAATTTACTCTAACAGTTAAAAAGTACAATCAGCAAGAAAGAAAAATAGGATACAATAATGTCCTTACAGGGAAAAAAAAAAAATCTGTTAAATGTAGCTCAAAAGGTCTAAATAAAAGGCTTTCAGTTTCTTACTGTCTTTTCTTAGGATCTTCTCAGACTACAGAACACTTCAGCTATATGGATTCACATGTTAGTAGTATTTAAAGCAGATGAACCCTTTCTTGTACCTTTTAGCTTTAGTTTTAGTGGGCCCATTTTATGTTGGTAACCACATTTTGTGCTTCACAGTTAAAGACTAAAAGTTAGATACTTCTCTCAGTAAGTAAAAGCAAAGACAAAAAGAGAGGAAGAACAAAACCAACCCACCCCCCCAAAAAAATGCAAAAAATCCCCACCATGATGGAACGAGAAGTACTCAAATTCTTCAGTTCTTGCAAGATTCTGCTGCCTTATATCACAGAACCTGGAAGAGCAGCCAGGGAACCAGATGGTAATGTTGCTAACCCAGGGTTTATTGCCAGCAGCTTCCTGCAGGTGCAGAAAGAGATTGATCAAAGGCTAATGCAGTCTGTTCATTAATGTCATGATTTCCTGTGCCTAAAGCCATTGACCTCTGAGTGGTGAGCATCACCTTTCCTGGAGGTGACTTGTTGACCAAGGAGTCACAGTTTTGTGGCTTCAATCTTAAGTCTTTTGTTTGCAGCTCTCTGCTTAAACTGCCTTAAAGCACCATTCTCTACGGCCTTTTTGGATAGCAAGTTGTGTGGTTTCCCATGGTGTTGACACAATCAAACTGGAATTCCTTTTTGCTTAGCTAATGTCAGTTCGGAAAAGCCCCAGTTAATGAGAGGTTAAAAGCCTATGTCAGCTTTTAAGGTTGCTGTTTAGATGCAGAGTCTCTGTATTTGAGTCTTTCTCATATAATAGATCCCAACCAGATAATTCAGGTTGGAAGGCACCTCAGGGGGGCCCTAATCTCTCAAGTAAGGAGTATCTTTCCTGTTCTTTTTTTTTTTAACGGGCTTTATCTGCATGAAGACATCACAAGTTTATGGACATTTTGATCCCAAATCATTAAAACTAGCAGGTTCAAAAGTACTAACCAAAACCAAAAGTTAAGCATAATTAGGTTATGATTATTAAGATTAACTGTGTATTTATTATTAATCTTCATGCCCACAGAATGAGGACAAAATCATAGATCTTTGTTGCAAAGAAAATCATATACAGAGAAAAATTACATCAGGCTTCTCAGACTGCAAGCCATTTGAAATATAAAAATAAGTAATTCTGAGATTCATAGTCACATGTACGTCAATTCTTCCATGACAGGTACATTTATAAGGTTACTAAATAAGTCATGGCACATCAAGACCTTTATGGTTCAGAAATCTGGTGTTATGGTGCAGTGCTTTGAAAACTTAGAAGTAAAAGCTGAGAAGTTGTTAATGAGTTAATCTTACCTGCTTTGTAAAGTGTATTGCATCCTGCTTTCAGGTGGGTGCATGTACTCCAGTAAATTACACTTCTTGTTGCTTGAATGTAATGAATGCTAATGACAGATAATGGTATCTTGTTTCCAATTAGCACTATAAAGAGAGACTGAGGTTTCTAGAGCTCATGATCACTGTATTTTCCAGGAAGAGCCTGAGAACTTTAAAATTATATAAACAAGTTTTATTTATGCTGAATGTATTTGCTGATTGTTTCCTTTCACAGTTGGGCATAATGTGAACAAGCTACATCTCTCTGTAATTCAGTAATTTAAAAAAAGAGCATATGTACATGAAGCCATATTCTGTAACCTGTTTTTATTAAACATCATTCATTGTTCACTTTGCTAAAAAGTACAGTAAAATGGTTACAAATAAATGAATGTGATAAATTACATTGACTATGCAGAAAGGTTTAAAAATGGATAAGCAGTCTGACTCAAAATATATGTTTAAATTAGGTATTTCATACTAGGAAACACATTTTCTTCACTTAGGTGTTGTTCTGAACAGTTCTAGTATGAGTTGGCAAGAGACTAAATACCATTTTGGCTGAAATCTATAAAAAATGTGTATTGTTCAGGGAAATGAAGTTGCAGCTCTTGAATCACTCATGTATTATGCAATGAATTATGTGTTTTCAGAAATATGTTAAGTATTGTGCTCACAGGCATCAAATATGCAGTGTGTAACAAATCGCTTCCTTTCTACACTTGCAGTACAGCTTGTTTCTTATTATAATGGTTTGTGTATTTGGAACCTCATATTCCGTCAATAATGTATTTCAGTTTGGAATGTTCACTGTGCAAGATTTTTATCTTACATCCTTATTGTTTGTATAATTGTATGGTTTTCTCTAATAAACAAGGTGCAACAACAATAATATAGCAATGAATTTTCACCTGCTCTTGCAAGTCTTGAGTTTTGCTGGATGTTATACTGCTGGTAATAGCTCACGGCCCTGCTCTGTTATGACTGAAAGCAGGACAGCTGTTGATAGCTTACTGGCCTTTGGATTGGGTCCCAAATGCACTCCTTTTAAAGCCAACCTTTGGATGCAGCCACTTTGTTTTGTAAAATATATCAGGAAGAAATATTAGCATCTTATCTGCTGACAGATGAGAGTTCTGGGATTCCTTCTCCTGTAACTCCACTCACTAGTCCAACACCCTCCTCTACCCAGCAGAGAAGGCAGTATGCCAAAATGCTGCTGCTTGAATTGTATTACAGAAGATTTTTCATAGGGCTGTCTGCTAGATATGGCTGGTATCTCATCTGTCTGTTCTGAACATTTCAAGTAGTTTCCTAGTCGTAAACCACAAGCTTTGTAGATATGACTCGATGCATGATTTAACCCTGGTGCTGCTAGCACTCTAGTTCACCTTACATAATCCTGTAATTTTTATTTAACTGGCTGCTAGAATCGTTGCAAAATTGTACAGAAAGCTTAATATGATAAACAGATAAAAGATACATTCTTTCTGTTTGTTTCTTGCAGTACCCCCATAGGAGGATGAATGTACTTAATATATACATATACAAATGCACATATACATATACACATGTAATTAATTTTCAAGCAACTGGATGGCTCTCATTATCCTGGAAGGCAATTCTCTGCTGTGATTATTTCCTGTAGAGCGCAGCTGGCATTAAGAAAAATCTTTTGAAGTTTTAACTTCATTTTCATTCATGTCACTTGTATGTCCACTTTCTACAACTGCTTCATCAAATGAATTTCATCTGCCTGAAATACTGACATCAGTGTGCTATCCACTCATATAAATTACTTCTGGCTAAATTACTAAATTAATGCACAGTGATTACAGTTGCATTTTCAGTTAAAAAAAGAAACCCACAAATACTTGTAGCTGAAAACTGACTGTGAGAGCTGTGCCTAGCCAGTCAGGGGATAACGTGTCCCGAATCAAAACAGCTTGAATGTCAGTTGCCAGATATGCGTAACCAGTGCTTTCAAGTGAGATAAGCATATGAATTATTCTCAGAAATTATTCCAAGAATAGTTATGGATAGCTTCTAAGTTCAAGAAATTAAAAATCTGAATACAGGCAGTTTGTGAGCAAAGAAGGCAAAATTAGTTTAAGAAAATAATTGTTAGAGATTGGTTGTTGCATTTGTGAAATGTTTTTACTTGCAATCCACTGTCAACTAAGCTTCTCTTTCAAATGTAAACTAACATTTTTTAAATTATAATTCAATATGTGAAATTGCCTGAGCAATACTGCTATAAATAATGCAGTATTGAGCTGATTGCCTGCTTCTGTTCATTTTGCAAGAGTCTTACCTCCCACAGAGTCCAAGCAAAAAGAAGCAAAAGTGACAACAAAAAATTAACAACAGGGAAAGCGTTATATTTTCTGTTTGGTCCACTGCAGACACAAGAAATAGAGTTCAGGAACGTTTTAAGTTTTTCTGAGCAGAGACTGATTCTTGTTATGTCTACCTGGTATCTGGTAACAGTAGTAGTCAGATCTTGAATTTGGTACCAGGTACCAAAACCACAGCACAAAATGTAAATAATAACAGTCAAGCAAAAATGTGAATAATTACATTTCTGTTTCATTAGTTCTTAGAGGTCAAATTTTCTGGATGTCCACTCCAGGTAGTAGCTGGGATTGCTGATTATCAGGATGCAACTATGACCTGAAATCTTTTGATAACATGTTAATATGACCATACATAATTTTTGTTAATTGATTTGGAGAAATCTCCGGGAACTCACCAACAAAGTGTAAATTGACAAGCAGTACTCTTTATTGCGGCGCCAGGAACAAAAAGCAGTGAAAAAGTGGGTTGAAGATAATTAAGTCTGATTTTCCACTCCTTCACCCTCACTACTTTCAATATCCATTTTATTGATTATGCATTTTATTGATTATAAAACATTCAATGGGTGTCCAGTGACTGCATAAGGAAGAAGGCTGTGGAGAATCAGATTTCTCTCTACAAGCAGTGGAAATACGGCTTCTTCAGAAGAAAAGCTGAAAACCTGTTGGTGTTTCCAGTAAAGATAAGGTTCCACATAATACAATAGAGTCAGCTTTGGGGAAAACAAACCATGCTGAGTTTGATCCTGCATAAATGTTTGGAATTGCAGGTAAGTGAGATTAACACCTCTTTGGTAGTTTAGCAATAGTGAATATAAAAGTGGGTGGTCTTTTTTCAGACCTAATTTTTTCAAATAGAATTTCTGTCAGTGTTTGTGACATCTTCTAGGTTTAATTATTTAGGGCCAAATATATTTTATTCTCAGCAGATAAGAAATGTGATGTGCTCTACAATAGCTGTTATTGTTACTGATATATTTTCCTTCCTGTTTTTTAAATTCTCACTAACTTGAAACTAGCTGGTCTATGCTATCATGTAAAAGTGTTAAAACACATTTCATTTCTGTGCTCTTTTTTTATTTTGAGTTGGTTACCTATCATAATAATGACATGTCTATCTGAATCTGTTACAGTGTGCCTGAATATTATGACTACGGTCACGGAACAAGTGAAGAGGCTTACGACAGCTACGGTAAGGTCTATTCTATCTTCAGCAAAAGTGTGAAATCAAAAGAAAAAAAATCTGTCACTGGCAACTCAGAAATTACTTCCCCATACTTGTCCTTCTTTCTTTGCTTTTACAAAGACCAAGCAAAATGGATTTGTGTATCTTTAGGGTGAATGAGTTTTGACTTACTGAAGTAGGACCAGAAAAGTGGACAGATCATAGAATTATAGAATAGTTTTGGTTTTAAACAACCTTAAGATCATCTAGTTCCAACCCCCCTGCCATGGGCAGGGTCACCTCACACTAGACCATGTCACTCAAGGCTCTGTCCAGCCTGGCCTTGAACACTGCCAGGGATGGAGCATTCACCACTTCTTTGGACAACACATTCCAGTGCCTCACCACCCTCACATTAAAGAAGTTCTTCCTTATATCTAACCTGAACTTCCCCTGTTTAAGTTTGAACCCACTGCCCCTTGTCCAGTCAGTACAGTCCGTGATGAATGGCCATGTTGACTGGCACCAGCCACCTTGTTGGTTTTCGTGTGCCTTAGCATGGTTTCCAGGAGATTCTGCCCCATGATCCTGCCAGGCACAGAGGTGAGACTGACTGGTCTGTAGTTCCCTGGGTCATCCATTTTCCCCTTCTTGAAAATGGGGGTTATATTTCCCTTTTTCCAGTCATTGGGAACTTAACCTGACTGCCATGATTTTTCAAATGTGATGGCCAGTGGCTTAGCAACTTCATTCGGCAGCGCCTTCAGGACCAATGGATGGATTTCATCAGGTCCCATGGACTTGTGCGTATTCAGGTTCCTAAGATGATCTCGAACCAGATCCTCTCCTACAGTGAAGGCCTTCATTCTCACAGTCCAGTCAATTTCAATCAAAATTACAAAGCAGATTAATCACAGTCACAGATCAGTTTAACAGCAACACTGAAGTTTCTGATTAGTACCTGAATATATTTCAGTGCTAATTTTCAGTCTGCTTGATGTGCCAACAATACGATGCATCTGCTACTGTCATATGGATCACTTCAACCAGCAAGTTTGAAATGCAAACTTAAAGTAGAAGAAGAAGGTGCTGTACTACCATGGGAACCTCTGATGCACCAAGATAAAGGAATACCTTGTGCTACAGGCAGCACTATGACTAGAGGGAGTGCTATATTCTTTGTATCTCCCCACTTAGTCTGTGTATGAGCTGGAATAGTTCCATTTCACGGGAACTTGAGGGCAACAGAGGAAAAGAAAATGTTGCTCTGATGTGTACAGTCCATTTTCTAGGTCTGTTGTTTGATATTAGTGACAATAGAATCTAGTACATTTTTTTCTATCAATATTTTTTCAGTGCATTGTACCATCAGATCATGGCACAGTAAATCTTAGTTTGACATTTTCACTGAAATAAGAGGGCAAAGCTGACTATTGTCAGATTAAAGCCTGACCCTAGTATATTCAGGAGAGATGTTATGCTTGATTTGCTACTAATAATAAAGTATCACAAGTTTGCACGGTGACTTCCAGAGCATTGTGAAAATCAGAGCTGCTGGAGTAAAAGTTGTAGTAAAGTGTTATATAAGGATTGCTGCTTGAAAGAAGTAATTTTATTCATGCAGCTGTAAAGCAAATGTCACTGCAATGCAAAGTTGCAGTTTCCTTTGTACAGAAATCACAAGACACTGCTGAGACATTGTCAAAATTATTGCATTATATAATTAAAAGTAACTTAATGTTTTGTATAATCAGTGCTCACAATACAGTTGGGTAATACAATGTTCATTCAAGTACATTTTCAGTGTTAAAGAAGTAGTAACAACAACATCTTTATGAATGTGTGTGATTCGGTTACCCTTTGTTTTGTTTCCTTTTTGTACGTACTTTTTTATACCTGCAGTGAAAGGCCTTTCCTCCCCTCTATAGATCCCCTGTCTACCACTTCTCTCAAATGCATCACTAAGGTTTTGGGTGGTGCAGAAAAGCATAGTCTGAGCTCAGTGAGAGTTACCCACTGTTTAACTTTTAGCTAGACACCCCCTCACTGAATCCTGTGTGTTTGGGCAAGACTTGTAATGTTACTCTTCCTCCAATCCCTCGTTTGAACTAGAAGAATATTACTTGTTTTCCCAGCAGGGGTTTTGAATATACTAATTAGCTAAGGCTTACAGAGTGTTCAGAGAGTGGAATGATGACTAAATTTATGCTCTGCATGAAGCTTTTTTTTTCTTTTTTTCTCGTTAAGCAGCTGAAACAAAATGTCTGGGTTTGCTTTACTAGACTTGTCTTAAAATATATGGTTTATAAGTGTGGGCTTTCTGTTATGCCTAAACTATTTTCTGAGCTGCCATTTGAATACAAAGGTCTAGAATAGTGTTAGCAATCACCAGGAATAAACTCTAAAATTAAATAATGTTCCAGGTTGCAATTTTGCTACTTTCTGAAATCAGGTACATTTACATGTGTGTAAATTTGTGCTTCTGTTGGTTCACTTATTCAGCAAACTAGTAAATTTGCTAGTTCTGTGCTCTGGAAATCTGTAAATGGGCTTTCTTCATCACAGAGTTACCACCATGTATTTGAAAAGGTAATCTGAATATACAGAGCTGTAGAATATATTCTTTACTTCCTCACTTTCTGAATTCTTGGTACATATACTGATGTTCTCTCTGTATCTGACGTTTTCAGTGCCTCCCACCTAGCTAATAGGCAGCCTGGTGCCAACCCTTCTCATCCACATGTAGCTTTTACCCTAATTCTCTGTTTCCAGGAGAATTTCAGGATGTTTTGCAATTCTTTGTGAGCTTTCTGAACCCATCCCACCATATGAAATCAGCTGTCCCTTCATTTTTCACCTACAGTAATCAACACACTCTTTCTTTCACCCCATTTCAGTTTCATACCTTGTTTCACCTTCCACAACACAGCTTCAGTGCTCTTTTCTGGCAAAATCTGTAATTCGGAATATATATCTGAATAACACCACACACAAATGGCACATGAATGTACAACTGGCGTCTTCTTGTTGTCTTTTAGATGTTTTGTGTAACGGCTTTTCACCCTTATCCTTTCCAATAATAGCATCTGAATTATCAAAAATTGAATAGCTTGGCATTTCTTCATTTTCTGCCGTGCATCCTCTTGCTTTTAAGTTATCGTTAGAGAGTACAGTTCTCAGTCCTGAGAAGGTTTTCTTTTATTCTTTTTCATGAAGGAGATTTAACTAAATAATAATGCTATTTCATGCTTACAATTATTTTTTTAAGAACAAAACAGAGCTCTCTCTATTTTGCGAAGTACTTTACAGCACCATAGTATCCCTATATGAGCGGCCTGCTATAATTTTCTTTCAGTCTGGATGCCTGAGAAGTATCAGGTGTTTTTTTGTCTCATGGGTTCTTCTAAGTTCCTTTCACAAGAGCTTGTGGAGAAGTCTTTCTGGGGGCACTCTTTCCTCAGAAGTTCTCAAGGTTTGCACATTTAGGGATTGTTCACAGTAGGGTTGCAAAGATCACAGGAGTGTTTCAGAGAAAAGCCCGCCTGAACAATGTTGTTCTCAGGAAGCCGTCTTTCTTTTGATTAGATGGAAGTGCTAAACAAGAAAGGACCCAAGTCACTTACCTGGGGCTGGGCAAGATGAATTCTTACATGCTGTTCACCATTGTAAAATCCACAGCTTGACTGTCTTGACTCCTTTTTCAATTTCTGATGTGAAGGTTCCTGGGAATTTGATCCCTTCCAACCAAGGAACATCCCAAGACAATAACAAAGTCAGCTGAGAGGGATATATGTAGAATCCCGCTATTTCCCATGACTTAAGAATGTTCTGTTTCACAGAAACCCCTTATGCAGCACAACTCTACTGTGATTTGATATGCTTGCCACCCAGTCTCTCGGAGGATCAAAGCAGAGGCACTTTAAAGCATTCCCTGAAGCAGCCTCTGGGCACCTGGAAATACTCTACTAAGGAATTGTGAGATTCATACAATTTTTTCTAGGATCAGGATTATACAGCTATGGCTAGAGAATTTTGGAGATGATTGTTCCAGGTTGAGGAAGATAAATTTGGGACATATGCCTGAAAATATCTTGTGGACATAGCCCTTATAAGCTTCTTCATGTGAGTGATAAAGAAATATCTTCAGCAGGAACTTAAAACTAAAATGTTAATCATTTGAAATACTGTACAGGTTTCAAAAACGTAAAGCATCCTCATCTCTAATCACACTCACTAAACATGTATGATACTTATGTCACTGAAGGTCTTGGTATTTGCAGATACAAATTAAGACCTAGCAGTCTAAACTAGGGTGAATATGTCATTTTAACTTGATGATGATGCTTATGTTTTAAAACAAGAGGCATGAAATTGGATTAACTTATGAACAAGAAGTTTATATCCATTGCTCTCATTGCACTTTAATAATACTGTGGTTTCCCTTCTGGAACTGTTGTCATCTGAGGAGGTTTCTATTGAAAGCATTTATTTAAAGTTTTAATGATATAAATCCTTTGGGATAAAATGGACAACTAAAAATTTGGTAACTGAGAATCTTCCCTGCCTATTTGTAATGTCATGCCCGAGTCCAGAAAGCATCTTCACTGGACAGGACCACTATAAAGGAAATACCTTTTGTAAACAGTCATGTTCTCATTTCTTTCTCCTTTTCCCTGGTTTTTAGAGGAACCAGTGTTCTTGATACCCGTGTTGTGCTTGTTGTACTGTGTTAGGCCACTTTAGAAAGGTAACAGAGATAGTAGGACTTGCTAGCAAGGTGCATCCAGTACATTATAAGCTATATTAATTATATCTGAACTGCCTCACTGTTGGTTTACCTGAATCTTTTTTCTCCCATGCACTGATCAGCGCACTCAAGGCTTTAGTTATCAGTTACTATTTCTGTTTTAGTTCTTCCAGAGGCTGGGGTCTCTAGCAGACAAACTTTGCCATTTTCTGCTGCAGAAGATTGAAGAAGAGGCTCCTGCCTCCAGTTCAGAAGGTTGAAACTGCCATGGCAAAGATGA